CATACGAATTTGTTCGATGCAGATTCATGAAGCCTTGAAAAGCAAAGGCCCGCATATCGCATGAATTTAGTTTTAGAAGTAATTTAGATGCATAGTCATTGATATTAAATGGTATTTTGTAAGTACAACGAAGTGAGAAAGAAGAAAAATTCGTGTGACTGACATTGCAATATTGGGACAGCTTCGTCAGATATCGACCACCTAGTGGAAATGAGTTTGCAAGAGTGAGTAAACAGGTTGAGGCAGGTTGGAGAAAGGTTTGTTGAAGAAGTTTTGTATGGCTTTGGCCATACTTTGCCCGTGTTGCCAATGTTTCCAGCGTTACTCGTGTTACCGGTGTTGCCGATGTTACCAGTGTTACTCGTGTTGCCGATGTTTCCAGTGTCATTCGTGTTACTCGTGTTGCCGATATTACCAATGTTACCGAGAAAATGAAACTCTACTGCGCGGTAACACTAGAAACACGAGTAACACTGGGAACATCGGCAACACGGGCAAAGTATGGCCAAAGCCTATGGAATGAATGGCTTCGCGAATGCGATATCTTCTCGCGCCGCATGGAATAAGTCCATTTTATTCGCACGAAAAGCCCATTTCGCGGGGACTTCCGTGGATATCATTCTTGGTTCTTTGAATAAGCAATGCTGTTCAATGGACTGTCGCAGGAAAGAATTATTTAAGAGCAGGAAGTCAGGTCTATGATAGATGCAGGATGCATGTTCACTTAGAAAAATCGAATTATAGGTCGTTCCGTAAGTTCGTAGCGTTTTCATTCTCGTTCTCATTTCTCTGGAAGGCGGTTGTTTTGCGACAAGATGTGCATATCGTTGAAAAGAGCTAATCATGTTCATATTGAATCTGCTGCTTTCGATTAGCTGACGCACTCCAACTCAATTCCCAAATGCGGAGTTTTCAAGAGACAAAAAAAAAACATTTTCGACATTTGCTCATTTTTTCGTACGAAAAAAGTGTTTTGCATGATTTTTTTTGCTGATTATGAAAAACTGCGCTTTCCTGTCAGTATAAGACAAAAAAGAATCAGATTGTTTTGAAAAGCAAGTGTTTACACGTATCCAATGAGCAAGACTTTAAGCAGGACGGGCAGGAGATTGTGCAACGAAAATTGCTAGATGAGAACTAATTAGTCGATTATACCGTACGCAACCCAACTGCACCATCTAAACGATCCTTACTGCAAAAATGACTCAAAAAACAGGTTTATTGACTTTTTCTGCCTGACAATATATGGCTCCGTTCGGCAAACGCCATCAAAACTATCTGCAAGACTTAACAAGGAAGCATATCAGTACGCGTACTCCTCAGACCATGCTCCAACATGATGATCATTTGTCTCTCTCTCTTGCAAACCCTTGAACGGTGTGCTTGTTCCGATTCTAAAGATGATCTTAGGCGCTGGCTAGACAACTTTTTTGGGACCAGACCTGCTGAGCTCCAGAAAAACGAAGTTGAATATTTGACGGCAAGGTGGCAGGAGATTGTATGCAACAGCGGGAAATTCATTATCGACTAAATCTCGATAGGATTTTGTCATTTTGTTATTTTATAAAAACGCTACGAACTTATGGAGCGACCCAATATATTTCGTTGGTGCAAAAATTTTTGCGTAATTCAGACAAAAATCAGTGTGCCAAACCTGAATTAACGGTTTAGTGTTCTAAAAATACCGCAAGTTTGCCGCAACAAACGGATGTTTAAGCGTCATATATGGGTTGGCCACAGAGAACTAAGCTTCCAAATATAGCTGTTCAAAATTTGCGATTTTGAGTTTGGTGTTAGAAAATCGCGGAGGGCCGTTAGCTTGTCCAAAAACTGTATAAAAATTTCTTACGCAGCAATGTCCACAGACTGATTTGGGGGAGGCTTCAATCTTGTATGGAAATGCAAAAACAAAAAATTCATGAAATTCAGCTAACGGGAATAAACCCTTTCTTTCCGCCGTTTCCACGGAAACACAGTTTGAACCGGAAATCACACCATGTGCCTATTTAGAACATCGTGATGCTTTTTAGAGTATCAAACTGTGTTCCTCTGGAAGAATTGCAGCAATGAGATGATTTTTCCTGCAAAATGACATTTTTGACGAATATTTTATTTTCGCATTTCCATATCAAATTGAAACCTCCTAAATGAATTTGCGGACATTTCTTTGTAAGAACTTTTTTTACATTTTTCTGGCTGAGCTAGCGGCCCTCCGCGATCTTCTGGCACCAAACTTAATATCGAAAATCTGAATAACCATCTTCGGAAGCTCCGTTGTCGGTGGCCAACTCATAGAAAGTTACGCTTGAACGTCTGTTATGAAGCGGAAGCCTTGCGGTATTTTTAGGATTATAGACTAGAATTTAAGTTTGATTTTTGTCTGAATTACGCAAGAACTTTTGCACCAACTTAATATCTTCTTTCATTGAAGGACATGATCAGGAAATAAGGGAGCATTTAGATTCCTCAAGTTTAGAGCTTTCCATTCACGTGAGCCTCGAAAATACCTTTCCGTTCCAACAATAAAGCATAAATTATTTCACAAAATCAGCTGATATCGTACCTAACAAGGGAATGGTCAGAAATCGAAGTGACCATTCCAGACAAGCTGCGTAGCGTTAAATGCAGCATGAAGCGCTGACTCTAAATCTGTCTTCTTTATCTGCTTATCGCTTTTCTGGACGAAGTTATAAGCCATTAAATACCATTATTTTGCTCAGAAATTATGCGTGAAATTGAAAATTTAGCCGTACAGAGCCTCGTTCGCCTCAATGCTGGGCCAAAACATGCAGCTAGCTTTTAAATTTTTGAAGCCAGAAGCCGAGTTAAAAGTGCAGCAATGTGCTCAATTTCGCTGTTTTTATGTATGATTTTTTCACAATAAAACCCCTTGTAGCTTCGTCCACAGAAGCGGGAAGCAGTAAAGGAAGACAGATTCGAAGTCAGCGTTTTATACTGCATCGAATGATATACAGCTTGTTTGGTTTGGCCACTTCGACTTCTGACCATTCCCTTGTAAGTAAAATTTCTCATATTCCGTAGATAACATGTTGGTGCATAAAGCTTTACCGCTCCTCTTGCTCCGGCAATACATAAATCCGAGCCATTGAGGAGACCGAGTGGAGCAGGCTAATAGTAAATGACTCCACCCTATTTTTAAAGAACCACAAGTTTTTTTTCATTTGACAATCTAAAAACCTTTAAAAAGCTCACGAAAAGGGGGGGGGCGTACAGTCTGCCCTAATCCCAACCAGGCCAAAATTGGCATGGCGGGAGTCTGCGTCGCTAGTGTATCGCGTCACGTCTACGACTAGCTATTCTGCTCTCTCCTCAATCTCTTCGCTCTCTGCGACAGCGCGCGTATGCAGCGCAGAACCCTAGTGCTGCAAGCGCGCAAATTCAGCCGATGGTTCAGCCTGATTTCGATTGGGGCAGACTGTAGACTGTCTCTCTTTTCCTAGCGCCCTTTAACGGAGATACATAGTATTCAACCTGAGAACTTAGTCTTTGTAGGGAGATTTGTACACAAAAAGTAAATGAAGACCCCTAGTTTTCTAACTATATTGAAGAACAAGACTTTGCCAGTGAACGAAAACCGTCTCCTTTTTCGAGCTTTCCTCTTCCATTTAGAAACGGAGTGCAAAGTGATCACATAAAATTAGCTTATGCTGCAACTAGATAAAAAAAATTTGAAATTGAATTCATAGGAGAATCCAGAAAAAAGAGACGGTTTACGTCGATTTTACGTGCCATGCTTTCGAATGGCATGTCAATTGACCAGACATAAAACTTTCCTGAATCAAAAAGTCTCTGTTTGATAATCTTCCGAAACTAAAGCATGAATCCCCGTATCACATTTTCTGTGTATCACTTATTTTTTTCTCTTTGCAACAGTCCCACTCGGCATGTGAGCTTACGTCAGCATTCACCTCAAATTCAGTCAAATACACTTCCCTAGGTTGGAAACAGCCGAAACTCCCTTGACCTAAAGGTGAGCTTGCCCCTATCGCACCTATCGTTCGACACCGGCCTAGCGCCACAATTTTTGCTGCATCACAGGGTAATTTTTGATAGTGGCCACCATCCCAAAATCGATGATGAGCGCTATCAAGGATTTCGCCCGGCAAATGCATGTATAAAACAAAACACATTTTTTGACGAAATTTCAAGAAAAATGAATGGTTGCAATATGAATTCGACGGCGTAAATCATTGAGTTATCATTTTGAGCAGCTTTTCAAAATAAAGCCAACAAACTTTACAAAAAAAGAATCAATCTGTTTTCTTTTTTTACAGCCGAAGTCAACTGTTCATCGATTAGCTTCTTTCCGGACCCGGTATTGTGCGATTTAGCGCCAATATTGTCCAGTGTTTTAGGAAAACTGATGTGTATCATAAATTACTCAAGAGCAACTTACGGGAATGTTGTCTGCGTCTCACCTTTTCCACACTATTTGCATCAATTCACGTCTCAACTGAACGTGAGCTGATGAGAGTGGATCAGATGAATGCTGCATGTGGACGGATGGCCAACTGTCAGTTTATTTTGCATGCTTCAACATGGGAAGGTGGGCGGCCGTCATTTCACCTGACGGAACCCCAACTGATGGCTTCAGTTCAGATCACCTAAACTAATCAAGCTTTACTACAGGCCATACTCTGACGTTGTTTTCTTGGACTTTCGCCATCCAGTTTCGCACTGTTTGACAATGGAATTTATAATTTATAATTGCTCGATATGCCATTTACAGTCAGTCTTGAGATTTGTGAGCGTTACTCGTAATTCGCGTAATAGAAGGAGGTGGATCATGGATTGGACTAATGTAATGATAGGGAGCGCAAACCGTATTATTCAAACTCACGCGACTCACATGCGACTTAGAGTTTCTTTTTAATTCTATCAGTTTTCAATTTGGCTAAGAAGACAGCTTTTTTGTGACGCCGCCACATTCGCAATTTGTTATTGTCGGTTCGTCTTTCTAACCAAATGAATACTTGCAGTTGCATCACTGTTTTTATGGGCATTCACTTTCTGTTTGGTAACTCTTAGAACCGTACCCAACTTTGGCAAGACTGAAAAGGTATGTACTTTTGATACAAATACCAGAAGCTTCGCCACGAATTTATCAACAACAAAAGTTATAAAGAATAGGTAGCATTCGAAAGTTGACATTACGTACAATATGACATCACACCCACTAGATCATCTGGTTGTAATCTGCAGTAATCGGATAATTTGTTAGACCTTTTTGACGTTGAATTCAGTCCAAAAACCATAAGCTTTTGAAATTTGCTCAAATCTGTATGTTGACAAAACTTGCTATATTGCTTGCAGCAGATCGTCTCACGTTTCAATTTTTGATAAAATGTGATTGCATTCCACCGTTTGTCCCAGGTTGAAACGAAAGATCTTGCTATTTTAGTCGTGATTTAGCAAACAAACGATGGCCTTAGTTTCTAGAACTCAGAAAGATTTGGTGGCCTTAGGTTTGCAGCAACTTTTCGATGACAAGCACTGGAGAACAAAATTTTACTAGCGCCACTCAAAAATTACAAGGAAAATACAGTTTAACGAGATAAACTCTTGGGAACTCAACAAAAATCAGGTTTCGCTGTATTTAAAAGCTTGATGTAACTTCACGGAGTATCAAGACTTGAAAGACAAAAGATCCAAATCCAAAAATTTCCCTCGAGATGTTTGTTACAAAAAGGAAGAAAATTTTTACACTTAAAACTATGCATACCATCTAGAAGCCCCTTTTTCTAGTTCCTTTTAGGTGATTTCTTTTTAAAGTAAGTTTGTTTTGGAATACCAAGACTTGAAAGACAAAACATCCAAATCCAAAAATTTCTACTCGAAAGATCCAGCTTCAAAATTTTTGTTAACCAGAGTGCAAAGTTTTTGAAAACGAGCACAGTGGAAGGGAGTTCTGCTACAAATGCACATTGAAAACAAAACTTCTAGCAAGTTTTGAACCAAAAAATTTCAAAGCAAATTCGCTGGTTGCTGGCTGTACTCTTGCAAAGTAGAAAACTTTGACCGCAAGTTATTGCAAAACTTTTGTTATACAACGAGAGTGTGGACCCGGCTCTTTTGATAGCAGAAAAAGGGAAACTTGTTCTTGTTTTCGGGCATCGAAAAAAATAGGACAAATCAAAATACGCATTCCGCTTCGTAAAGGAAGGTGGAATAAGTGGTACTAACAAATTTTTGGAGTATCGTTAAGAAAAAAATTTTCTCTGTTGATTCAGTGGTCTCTAGGTCTGGTGAACATGTACAGCAAAAGCAAATTTCAATTTTGTTTTCCTGGCGCTTGCAATGATTAGTTTTAGTTTTATTGTACGCGCACTTACACATGCCTCATTCTAGCTAAGAATTAACAGATTTTTTAGCTGCGCATACAATTTTTTGCTTTGATAAACCTCATAATTTCCCGCTCAAAGTGCGCAGACAGGGGATGCTTTAAAATCAGCGCCCAGCTGTCTAGGATATAACCTACTAAAACTATCTCTACATCTTTAACGATGGTCATTCTGACTGACCATAGTTCCCTTGTTAGTGATTTTCAGCTTAGACTAGAATGGCGTCAACTAACCTCATATTATCTGCAAATTGCCTACATGTCCTACTATACAGAGTGTCCCAAAAAATGTGAACACTGTTTGATCGTTAATAACTTCCTTGTTTTCAAATCTTTCGCCGAGCTTGAGGTACCATTCTGTAGAGCAAGGTTGAACTTAGATCAACAGGACGGAGCGAATCGTCGATTGCTTTTCATTACTGTGGGATTACGGTAGGAACTTCGACAAGGTTTTCAGGCCATTGGAGGCCATATTCTGCCTCGGAACAAAACCAAACAAGCCAAAATCTTTTATATAATGGTAATGGAAGCCGCTGATTTCGAATACGAAATTTCCACTTTACTGTGATGCTTCTTTCCAAGGTTATCCCAGGTAAACCGTAATAACTGAATTTCCAGCATTTATCAGAAATGTGACCACACCGTTAGAAAGCTGAAAACACTCGTAAAAAGTTGTGTAATGGAATCAGCGTGCGAAAACCTAGTACACGATTTTTCAGATATTTTGAAAAAAATTTTGTCAAATGGCATATCCCACAGTAGATCCACATGCTAGAGGTTCATCCCGTAATCCTACGGTAATGAACAGCAATCGGTGATTCGCTCCAACCACAAATCTAAGTTGAACCTCGCTTTACAGAATGGTGCCTTAAGCCCGGCGAAAGACGTGCAAGCAACAGAGTTATTGACGATCAAACAGTGTTCACATTTTTTGGGACACCCTGTACACTTCAGAGGCTATAATGCGCAGAAATTGGAAAAAAAATACAGGAAAAAGGATGCATTTGAAAGTCACAATGTTTATGATAAACGCCTTACAAGGAATAGTGGCAAACCTTAATGATATGCATAATTAAGTGCGTTTGATGAGGTGATTCCAAATCTAAATACATTTCGTATCTGCTAAGAGCTTCTCTAGAAAAAGCTTTGAGCGGTTTAAGATGTGAAGTTATTGGGGTTTTAAAGCGTAATGTTGCTTTAAAATCCAGCCTGGGAGTGATTAATTGGCATGGTGTGTGCATTGACTACAAGTAATGTATACATACACCGAACACATAAACAAGTATCTTCGAACAAGTACCCTATTTTCCGGAGTATAAGCCGCACCTTGTATAAGCCGCACCCGCCGCAGCGAACAATGGCGCGAAAGCGCCTTTGAAAAGAGCTATATAGCAAATTGAAAACTCGGTGCGTTCTAGTACGGATAGTCATGTCTGATAGTCATCTGATGATAGTGAGAATGCTTCGACTTTTTTCTTGTTTCATATGACTTTGAGGGTGTTTAAGTTGTGTTTTCTTTCCTAAATGATACTAGGTTGATTGTGATTTCCTGTTTTCAATGATGTTACTGGTGCTAAAGTTGGCTTTCTCTTATTTTGATTTACTGGTTTGAAGCTTACCACCTTTCAATTCCACGTTACTACTGGTATTTGAAAGTTCTTTTACTGTTCAGCGGATTCGAAGAATAAATGAGAAGGTATGGAATTTTGTTACAAGCAAATACACTTGCGAAGAAACCAAATAAAGAACGAAAGCAGAAAGCCCGTATTAGATTATCAGGCGAAATAGATAGTAGTTGTTGCTTGTGCGGCTTCGCGCATCGCGGACGACATCGCCTTTCAGCCCGCGGTGAAAAGAAATGCGGCTTATACTCCGGAAAATAGGGTAGTTCTTGAAGATGTGGCAGCAAATGTTTGCTTAATTCGGGCATTCAAGCCCTCATAACTTTTTCAAGAGAAGGGCTTAGCAGATACGGAAGTTAAATTTCAGATCAGTTCATCAAGACGCGCTACTGATATGCATATCACTTCGGTTCGCTAATGCGATGTGGTATCCTTCCCTTGTTAGAATTTTTGGTGTTTTTTGCGAGGAAACCACAGCAATCCGGGTTTCGTGGCGAAAAGACAATGCTACAGACATTTTGTTTTTGCATTTGGATACGGATGAAAGCCTGCCACAATAATGTAAGCATTATTGCTGTGCAGAATTTTTGCAGATGTTTAGGCTAGCTGATTCTAGTATTTATTGAACCTCAAAATTATGCAGTGTTAAGTGTCGTTAACGAAGAGGAGTTGCTGTTAAACGTCGTGAAATGCAAACTATTAGGTCGTTCCGAAAGTTCTTTCCGTTTTTTCAACATGTCATAAAAACACGTGGAACGAAGAAAGGGAAACGCTTCAGGCACTGTCCGACGCAACTTTTCTTCCTCTTTTCAAATGTCATATTCCTGTGCCGCTCGCTCTTGTCGTCAGTGAGATAATGGCCGAAATTTCGAACCCATGGTTTTTACCATGTCCAACTTTGGCAATTTTTCACTATCTTCTTCTTCGACTTTTAGAAAAGCTTTAATAGCAGTCGGATAGAGTAAACTGAGTGCAATGCAATGCAATTTTTTGGCAATTTCAGCTGGCTTCTCATTATTTTTTTAGCTAACTTTTTCAGAAGTCTTCACTTTTTCGAAGTCACAAAACACACAAACGCGAGCATCAACAAATCTTCGGTTTTCGAAACTTTCAAAAGTCGTTTATGATTGTACACTATTTTTACAAAGTAACTGAGTGTTTACCGCTTCGAAATATAAGATTTAGCATTTCACGGGTACATCATGAGGCGGGTTCAAAATCAAGATTTATGGAAATTTTATCGCCGAAGACCCCACAAACTATGAAGAAAAAGCACTCATCAGAAAGAGGAGAAAAAGCTGCATCGAATGACACCTTAATTGTGCGCCGTTTTATGTTCTATGGCTTCTGGCATTCCCAAAAGTGGAATTTGATAGCATCAGAAAAATAATTCTAAAAATGTTTTGAGGCTAGCTATAGATGCCGAAAAAATGCATTGCATTGCACTTTGTTTACTCTATCCGACTGCTATAAAAGCTTTTCCTAAAGTTGAAAACGAAGATTGTGAAAAATTGCCAAAGTTGGACATGGTAAAAATCATGGGTTCGAAATTTCGGCCATTATCTCACTGACCACAAGAGCGAGCGGCACAGGAATATGACAATTGAAAAGAGGAAGAAAAATTGCGTCGGACAGTGCCTGAAGCGTTTCCCTTTCTTGGTTCCACGTGTTTTTATGACATGTTGAAAAAACGGAAAGAACTTTCGGAACGACCTAATATTTTCGAAAAACCAAACCATATATTCAGGTTGCTTTTTAAATACTGGAAATCTTGACACGGATATGACAGCTAGTGTCCCACAAAGGGTACTGATGCAAGCACGCGTGCTCTCTACTCCACCGGATCTCAAGAATTTGCGATGCCTTTTTCAAGAACTTGTGCTTCTTTTTGAGCCTGTTGTTCTAAAACAACCGCAGAACATCAGATATTTATCATATGATTATCGATAATTGCAGGAGTCCCACAGACAGTGGAGTGAATTTCTACGCGATTGAACAGCATCCAATGAAGAGAGCATTTAACACCAACACATAATCTATTATCTATTTTTATAATATTTTCAAAAAAGCGATTTTTGCTGCTATGTGTACGACATGCATCTGGCTGCATATTTCAATGGTAGCAAATAATTTGAAACAGCTTCTCTATAGCTAGTAACAAGATACATCACCACGATAGGATCGATCACAGGGTATACGTTGAGAAGTAACGCAACTATGTTGCCGCCCTCCCCTGAAATGCGAGGTCAACTCACACAACAGATGCAAAGTACTCACCTGTACTTTTCCCAATAAATGTCATGATAAGGATGGCGGTTGAAGGTATGAATGTGAAGACGAGCGGAAAAAAGGACTGAAAAACAAATCTCTTTCGAGTGATGTTCTCGAACATTCATTTAGAAAGGCGTTTGTAGCAAAACAGTGTCTTAATCATAATTCTGCTTCTAGCCCTTCCTTTCGGGAAACTTTTGTTTTTTGAAAAGTCGACTCTGTTCAATCCGACCGTCTTTGGATTTAGTGGATGGCGTTTGTATTATGTGACGCTGTGGGTCTGACCGAATCTCCAACGAGTGGTATCTAATGGGCGATGCAAAGAGCATAGTACACTCTGTGAGAAAAGAGTACTTTCTGCAAAGGTTGTCGATTATAGCGGGATCAAGATGTCAAAGCGCATTCGCTATTCATTTGTTAGAGTTATCTCATAAGCTGGCTCCTAGCAATGACAGAATCGGATTGACAAAATATTTTTACCAGCCGCTTTGCTGCCGCTATGCGGCAAGCCGCTTGAATTTGTCAGAATGTGAAAATCTGATTTCTATGTTGTACGTCAAGAGAATAGCAAGGTTTTTTGTCGAGCTTGGAGTTTGAAAGAGATTATTTCTCTGGGAATATCTGGTATATTCATTAATCAAACTATTCAGAGCTGAATTGAAGTTCATTGAACAAAAAGTACAAAAAGTTGACGAATTTGGAAGAGATTGACTTCGAAAATGGCAGACATTTTTTGATAATCAGCAGGCTCACTTATCCCCCTCTGAAATTCGTAGCCCTCAAAGTTTTAACCAACTGTTTTGCTCTAAATTTATTGATCCATTGATTTTCGCATTACGAAAGTTAAAAAATCAATAAATTCAGAGCGAAAACAGTTTGTTAGCATCCGCCCTGCTGTGAAATTTCCGACTCGTAGTAGTTGTGAAGCATCCCAAAATTTTTTTCTGAAGGCGCAGTTAACGCCATGCCCAACCACTCGAAAAAAAATATATTTGAGCGCCTTTCCCCTCCACAAACCAAAATTCTCGGACCGTCGCTGTTGGCACATATGATCAGTAGGTAGCTCTGCTCAGGTATTAATGTGGTATCGGCATTCTTGCAAAATGTTTGGTTCGGCTGCCTGTTCCATCCAGTAAACTTAGAGCTTTGCTTGTGAAGCTGCAAAATTGCTCGATCAAATTGGTTTGGTCGCAGGCTTGCCCCTTTCAGGTACTATAGCGATATGTCGAAGTTTCAGCCTATAATTATTAAAATTCTATATGCGGCCCAAAAACATGAGCACAGCATGTGTTTGTTCAAGAAGTGTTGAACAATCCATTCAAAAATTTTATCTATTTCTTGTCGAAGAGAGCAGTAGCTACGAAGAGCAAGATTTGCTACATTCTGGTTATCTTGGAGTTTCTGGATTAATTCCTACTATTCAAAAATCAATGGTTAAAAAATTTGTGCTTTGCCTAGGCGTAACACTATCGACGAAATTCTGGAACTAATTTTTGAAGTGATTTAGCTTTTACTTATAATGAACGCCTCATGACAATGAGATTGCTAGTCCTTGAGATTTCAAATCAGCTTTATTATTACTATAACTAGCTTGCTTACCCGGCTCCGTCCGGCCCTGTGAAAACACTGTGATAAAGGTCCCATCCCTATCCCTGTACAGCCTTTCCCTGTGCCCACTTCTACACTTCTTTTCCCGTTCCCTTTGTGTTGTTTTCGAAATCAGCATGCCCACTTACCCCTCCTGTGCCAACTCCCAGCCCTGTAGCTCAAACTTCGCGAAAAATTGATAAAATCGATAAAAGTGATGGACGATTCCAAAAACTAATATTGTATTCGTAATCAGCATGCTCGATTATCCCCCTATGCAAACTCCCAGTCCAGCATGTCAAAATTTACAAAAAAATCGATGAAATCGATAAAACTTGCCGATAATTCTGAAAACTAATATTGTATTCGGAATTCCCATGCTCACTTACCCCCCCCCCTGTGCCAACTCCCAGCCCCGTAGGTGAACCCTGCAAAAAAAATCGATAAAAATCGATAAGATCGATATCGATCGATGACGAAAAGTAGCCTGTGACACCCGCCGGGGCCCGAAGTGTATGTGTGCCAAGTTTGGTCCGGATCGGTTCAGAAATGGAATTTTCTATTCGGAACATACGTACAGACATACATACATACAGACAGACAGACAGACAGACATACAGACAAACAGACAGTCAGCTTTATATATAAGATTAAATGCTAAAGTGCTGTTCATAATTTTATTTAACGCCGCAATTTATTTCGCGCACAAAAATGAAATCGGCGTCAATCTTAGAGAAGCATTGTACTTTCCTGATGTGATCGGCACAATTTCTAATCCAATCCCAACACTGCTTCGTCACAGAAGCAGACGTTAGAACCTGAGATCTGGTGTTACGGTGAATCAGAATTTTTCAACGCTGAGCAATATGACTGTTGGGTTTACAATATCTTAATGCTTGCGTATCTCATCTCAAATTTATGCAGATATATCTCGTCTTAACTTTATGCAGACCCAAAATATTAGTGAAGTCATTCGAACCTCAAAGCTTGTAAATAAAAATCAAAAACTCTCCTTTGAAATGCAATAGATCTAGCCCAGCATGTTGCAGGTATCTCAAACCTTGAGACCGTAGCTTTACATCAATTGCGAGTGGAAGTTGTAACTTTGAGCAGATAAAAGTTTTTCTTAAAGAGTTCGTATAAGTTTACACAAGCGAGTTCAGCGCACAGTGCTTTTCTAAATTGACAACAAATTAATAATCCAAGTCGCGTATACTGCTATCAGCCACGTTTTTACGTGACACTAAGGTTTTTTGACTTTTTCAAAAGTTTCGAAACTCCCAAACTACACGGTATTTTTATAATTATGTACCGCACTATATATGCCTACCGAAAATTGAGATCCTCAGATTTTTAGGTGGCCGGGGGGGGGGGGCATGTTATAGCCAGAGTCAAGCAAGGGGTGTGGCACACGATCGCTGGTTACGACCCCCCCCCCTGATTGCTGTCTTAATAAGACCCCCCCCCCCTGAACTATATACCTAAGATAGCATTACAGAGTTGAGAAAGAGGTCAGGCACAAGTCTTTCGAAAACAACCCTCTCCCATTCCATGAAAGCCCTCAAACGACCCCTTCTTCCTCCTCTTAACCTCTGGACCTCAAAGTGTGACATTCTGCTGGAGGACACCAGCTTTTTCTAGAGAGTTTTCAGATTTCTGAGAGCTGTATGCCCGATTTTCTGTGACTGCACTTTACAATCACACGTAATTTGACGGCTGATTTTGATCTGAATGGGCTCGAAAGGGCCATAATTTTCTTATGGGTGGGGCGTTCGGCTCCAAATTTCCAGTGTAGCAAGAAGAAGCTATGTGCTCAATACTCATACCAGCAATGAAGCGCTTTCTGGATTTTGAAGGCAAGTTAAGGGGGTGTGCCGCACCCCATTAACTATACCAAGAAAACATTTTTAGCGGACAGTATTTATATGAATCGATAGCCTAAACCTTGTAGATTCCATAGGACTGTTTGGAGCCTGATTCGTCTTCTTAGCTCTGAGTAATATTTGGTGAAAGCACAGCGATCAAAAGCGAAAAATGGGAAAAACGAGATTTTGGTTGGCTTCTAATTCCACAGTTTGCAGGTCTTCGGAAGCGGGATTCCTGAGGTGGACAAAGAAGGATAGTGCTTTGTCTTGAGTGCAAAAACACATAGCTAATTCACCTTTGAAACAAAGTTAACCATGTTGGAATTTGACCATTTCATTTAGGTAGCCTAGTATCTTGAATCTTCAGAATTCGCTCACTCTCTGTCTACAGGGGTTAATTGACATGCTAATTATGGATATGATACAAATATCATGTTATCACTATTATCAGATTACCCAACTACGACCCCCTCCCCTTTTGACTCCTCAATACGACCCCCCACGTGTGGCGTGCCGCACCCCACGCTTGACCCTGGTTATAGCCCATGCTGACGGTGAAACCTGTCGGCGAAAATTGTCCTCTACTCAACGAGCAAAAAGCGAAAAAAATTTAGAAGCACTTTGCGTGCTCAAGACTTGCTTTTTCGCAAATCAATATTTTCAAGAATTTCAAAGTGACATCTCAATAGCAAAGCTTTGTGCATGCACGAATATAATGGTAAGAACTGCGGAAGTATCAGAATAATCCCAGGCAACGAAAGTGAGGAAAATGTAAAATCAGATGCGATCGAAGATGGAATTTTGTAGTAAAAGGCAAAAACTTTTGAAATGGTCTGATGAATAAAAACGGTTGCATAATGTTAAGCTGCATATGTAGGAAAGACTATTATGTACAGTCACCTGTATCAAGAGCACCTTGAACATCTGGACTTGCAGTTCCTTTGTTCTCTCGCTCATAACTTTTTGTACACGAAGACGTTTCGCAATTGCTCAAATATGAATCGGTGCTTGTAAGGAGCTCAATCATGTATTCGACTACCTAATCCACAGAAAGGGATAACTGCAAACGTGAAACCGTTCACTATTCCAACGTTGAGCACACCAAGTAGGTCGAACCATTTCAGGTCTCCGTTCACCTGAACAAATACAAATAAGAATGAAATAACTTTTCATATACGAGGAAACAAGAAGGCTACTTGAAGGCTACTTGCATTGAATAAGCTTGAGTTCGTTCTTTCTTTCGTTTCAGACTGTAAAATATGTAAGGTAAAGTGGAGCACAAATCTGACATGCTTTTGACATGCTAGGTGTCTCTGCGCTTGAATATCTCGAATTTCTCAAAGTCGCACACATCCGTACTAAATCTCGCAATTGGAGCAGCAGTAAGCGAAATGCGAAAAGTGTCTCAAAATACTAAGTTGGATATAGATTTTGTTTTTGTGATTATCTCTCACTTTGACACTAGGGGCGAGATTTGTCAATCTCTTGCTCGCTGCTCGGGCGTGTTGCATCGTTATACACGGCCCGGACAGGCGAGTGTTCAACCCGTACGTTGCTTATCATGGCCTAAACTGGCAGCAAAGCCCGATTTGTCGAGATCGGGTTTGCCGTGCCCGACATGGCCAAACCTGCCAGATTGGACCCTTGAGCCCATGCACTGTCCTAGTGTGAGTTAAGACAGTAGGTGATAGGAAATTGCTAATTACTGTGATCCAAACCCGTCTTCTATTTTATACAATTTGATATGTATTGTTTTGATTCAGCCAAGAAATAAGACTTTTGATTGATTTGCATATTTTAATTTTAATTTATTCCTGTTCTTTCAATAGTCCTACAATGCAATGATATTCAATGCGTTACTGATATTTAAGACGAATTGGCCGTTTCGGACTTTTGAAAAGAAGTGACTTCAACTCCTTGACTTGATAACCACAGGTGCATATTAATACAAAACTATGCTCGAGGATCGAAAAGAAAGAAATAAACAATTAAAAAGATGAGTTTTCAAATGTTTGCAATACGCCTTACGTCAGCAGGCGTTTTTGATATGCGCCGCTCGTACTGCTGGCGTGCTGTTTTTGCACAGTAGGTTCCCGATAAATGAGAGAAATGTACAGGAGATTGATAAATACCGCTAGTGATCTACCCTACCTGGTGACATCACAGATACCGGCAGTTGGCATACATCGCGAAAATGCAACTTCGCATTAGCTCACGAACTGGTCGTAGGCTTTGATATTTGTATTCGATGCGCAAACTATCTCACAAAAGTAAAGTGCATTCTCCTCCAAACACTGACAAACATTGACATCCCGCACGCTTGAACCTGCATGCATCGACCTCGAGTTCGGCCGCGCTATCTCAACCACGCGTGCACATTTTACTTATCAAAGAGCAATGGTAAGAAGGCTTCAGGTAAGCGGTGCCCGTAAGAAGGGTATGATCAGAACTAGTATCAGGACCCTAAGCGAACAGACGAAGACAAAAATACGCACGGAATCGTTGATGACATAATGAAAGAATTGCAGGGAAAGAACCGCTTTCGCAATGGGACAAATTCTTCTTTCAAACATGTCATAGGATTGAGGAAAACTCTAACAGTGGTCGAAAATGATAATTTTTTTGATGGAAAATATAATTATCAGACTTAATTGCTTAACGTAAACTACGCGATATTGCCGCACTGCCCATACGGACGCTGCCAGCAAGGTGACAGCATCTCGACATGGTAGGGGCACGTCAAGGCGCGGGCAACTTTTTCCCTCTAAATGCACACTATTACTCGTGCTCTCTCCTGTCCGCAGCTCTCACCTCACAAATTTCGGCGAGGTGTTGGCAGGTTGCCGGTAGGTCAGTTCGCGAAGCCGCCAGCAGCGCCTGCTGCCTTTCTTAAGGTTTTTTCTACATATGGTTTTTGGTCCCAAGTTGAGATGATTTATTTGAAGTCGCTATGACATTATTAATCAGGCAATTTTCGTAAAAAGGATTTTTACGGCTAGATGTGGTTGATTTTCGACGGCTTCACGTGGAGTTGAGACCTGGCAGCGAGATTTGCCGCCAGGTCGGGGATCACTATAGGCCAACCGAATTCGTTTGCACGTGTATGACTGAAGACAATGAATCGTTAAAACTATTCTGAATTTTGATGTGGTAGGTTAGCTGCCCCTCCCCGGCAATACCAAATCGGAGAAAGATCGGTCGCGAAGCATGCTCTTCCTGAAGGGAAAATTTTCCTCAAACCCGTTTTCAAGCCATTTGTGAGCACTCGGACGAGCTTGCATTTTCCCTCCTACTTTGGGGGCTCATGCCGCGAAGTTTAACCATAAGGGTCCCACAACGACTCTGCATCTCCAGCGTTTGCTCTGGCAAGCTTCGAAATGGCTGGACGGGCGGGTTTCCGAAACAGGAAGCGAGGAGCCTGGAGCACTTTCGAAAAGAGTTATCGTCTTTCTGGCCAATTTTTGCCCGAACTTCGATAGCTTAGTCGGGAGTTGAGCCGTTGCAACGCAATACCCTGGCGCATTTCCTTTTTTCGGCACGCTAACTTTCAAGACAATCACGGAGAATTTGACGTATTCCGAAGATTTAACCTACCTTTTTGGTACAACCGTCCACGCAGCCTGCTACGCTTCTAGTTTTGAGCTATGCAGCTATGTAAAGCTCTTCGCAATTCCCAGCACGTGCAACGTCTTCGAGACTTCGTTAAACGGATATGAAAAGGAAGAGCAGTCTTTCTTCTCATATCTGTTTTATTAGGTTGGCTAAAAAATAAGTTCGTTTTGGCATACAAATCATCATGAAAAATTTTCTTGTTGTTTTCAATCTATGATTCTTTTTGGGAAAGTAGTTCAAAGCTTTCTCTATCACATGTCAAATAATCAGATTTTCTATCGTCGGTAAAGACAGTTACGCCTCAGCATAGTGAAATTTCTAAAAGCTCAATTCTTTGACTACCTAAGCTTCGTTTTTAAGCTGTATTGGATGTAAAGAACTGCATTGGTGTTTGGATACCAGTGGCGTACCCAGGATTTCGGCTCGGGGGGGGCGCGACAAAAATTTTTTTCTAAGAAAGGTGCGTGGCGTCAGCCACGCACTCCGAAAAAATCTTTGGGGTGCTTTTCAAAATTTTTCCGGGTCCCCGACCCCTAAAATCTGGAAAAAGGGGGCGTGGCGTCAGCCACGCCCCCGAAAAAAAATTTTTTATAAGGCTAAAATGAATTTTTAAAAAATTTTAAAAATTATTTTAATTATTTACAAGTAAAAACAAGTCACTTGCACATTTTTATAACCCATGTAAGTAACTTTCAAAAATTTCGCGACCCGTTCTCGGGGGGGGGCGCGCGCCCCCCCCGCCCCCCCCCCTCGGTACGCCACTGTTGGATACAGAGTAGTTTTCCCCATTTAGTGAACAACAAAAAGTACTGTGATCTGCCACTTTGAAAATGTTTCACTAAGAAAACCAAATTTCCACATTTTCACGCATTATGAGAAAATTGCGCTTTCTCACTTCTTTGCGGATTTTTTCCCTTAGAAAATAAGTTTTACTCAAACAGAATTTATGGTCCAATACCCAGTGAAGTGCTCTTTCCAGAGATACCAAACATTGGACAAAAATTTGTCTACAGCATCTGTAAGAGCTAAAAAAGCGACCGAACTTATTTATTAGCCAACCCAATACAAAGTCGACAGATCTCCATGATCCAGCGCAGTACGTAGCGAGAGCAAACCATCGATAAGCCGATTGCGAGCAGGACAGACAACAGCTAGGCCACCATCAGCATAGGCAGAGTATGTGAGAAAGTTTGAGTATTAATTTATTTATTATTTGAGTATTATCAATTACTGGTATTGACATTTGCATTTAAATCCTGAACGCTATCCTCTCCGACTATAACAACAAGAAGTGGAGAACGCAGGCAAGGGCAAAGTCAAATGGAAGAACTTGCGCTGACAATGAGACTTGCACACAATGTATGCCTATCTAAATATCTACAAGTGAGTAAACGATTCTTATAACGAAAACCTGTTTTTTGAAAGGGCCCGTGGTTTTGATTCAGCTAAGGTAATATTTTATAGCAATACCGGCTCAATTTGGAAGGGCAAATTAAGTTCTGCTTACTAGTAGAAGCTTTGAGATCACTCACAAAGTATATCGGACCAATATAGCCAACTTGTGATATGTTCAAGCCGTAGGAATTATGCATCGGTTCACCAAAGTAATTGTTCTTCTCCTGTGAAGGACCAAAGTTGAAGAAGTTAACAGAGCCATAGTCAAGTGCCACAACAAAGTACAGAATTGTAAGAGCAATCAAACACGAAGACCTTTGGAAGATGAATCTAGCTTTCGGCCTGAAATAGATATTGCTGTAGTATACTGTAGAATCCTGGTTTCGGTTCCAGTGCAAGATAGTTTCACGAATTTGATCGGAAAGCACAACAAAAATCGGGCTGTTCCTTGACTAAACAAGTCTTCCCCGCAAATTGCATCAATGAGGAAAAAACACAGACGAAAGATGCAGAGACTATAAGGTTGCTCCAAAAGTTCCGTCCGCTGCCTTATTCGAGCAATTCTTGGAGTTCTACACTTATAATGGCATTATAAACACTATCTGAAAGCATTTTTCTTGCTCTTTTCATTGCTTACTAGTCTCGACAAAACGACTTCCCCCAAATAAAAACCCAAGACCCGAAGTTGAGTTGTCCAAATGCAGTCATGCCCAAGAAGAAGTTTCTATCAAGAGAGCACCGTTTGTAAAATTATCTATGTAACTTTATACTGAGTAAGAGTTTAATGAGCTGATACGCAATTTGTCTATAAAAATCGAAGACAAACTCAGTTATTCTACAAGCGACGAATCTACGTACTGCGAGACAAGTGGTGCATTCAATGCTTTTTATGCTACAGTAAGGCGAGAACAAGAGACTCGTAAATTCAGCGCACTTGCGCGTGCGGAGTGCTCAAATGATGGTAATCAGCTCATAAAAATTCATGTCAAAACAAATTGAAGACACTCTGGTTATAAAGTTTTAGGGTACAGGCTTTTTTATGTCGGCAGCCATGAGCAATGGTAAGTTAAAATAGGCGGTTTTGAGGAAAACCTTGCAAAAGTTTCCAAATTTTCTCTCCTCTTCCACTTGTCTTTTTGAGACAGCATGATGTATACATGATAGCCATCTTAATCCGGCAAAATTGTTCAAGAATGTTGTTGAAAAAGTTATCTCATCCTGAATGAAAAAATTCGCAAAACGCAGAATTTTCGGAACAAGTTGGTACTGCACCGCATGATTGATCTAAAGTTTCCAAAAATTAAAAAAAGTCATCCTATCTGGTCAAGAACTTAATGACTTGTGTGCGACAGTGCCCGGACAAATTCAGAATGGAGGGGATGTCAACCACATGTAAACATCAGATCCCTCACACTCCTCAAAGCTGGCTGAAAGACAATTATGATATGACCCGACAAAAGTTGGTCTGGCCGCGTAAAGTGGATTCTCTGTAAAGGTTTGGCACAGTGCCTCTTCTTATTCAGAAATTGGGTGTCTGCAAACATTTGCTAATAGTGAAAAAGGGAAGTAATTGAAATTTCTGTTGGGTTTAACATGTTGATGTGAATGAAATATACAGCAAAGTTTCCTAGCTCTCCAAAGGTTTTGCGAAAATTTACAGTTGTTTGCAAGGGAAGACATTGACTTTGGGTCAGGTCATCTGAAAGGCTATTGGGTAAAACTGAAAGCTCTTCTTTCAGATTACGCTGCACCTTCCCCCCCCCCCCTCCCACTTCCTCCCTCCTCTTTCCCCCTCCTGCATTGAAAAGCTTATCAGCATAAGCATCTTTCGCTTTTTTTCAAAGAGCCTCCATCAAAAATTGTCCACATTTTCTTAGTTTCTTTTTCTCTTCAAAATTGTGCCACAGTTCTGATCATACCTAAGAGTTTTCAGATTATGCAAACCCAGCGCGAGTTGATCTAAACCTTCCAACCCACTTCTCCTCTTTTTATTACTTATTTTTCCCCAAATGAATGTTTTTCAAGAAATCGTGCAAAAAAATCCCTGGCTCCTCTGCGTCTCTAAATCTAACACTTATTCCAGTCACTAAAATTGTGTGAATGTCCCTAAATTCAGCAATATCAAAGTGTTTGCGCCATATTTTGTTAGTTTTATCTACCTTTCGACTACATTCCTGAAGCCGCTCTTGAGCTTCTCCTATCAAGACCGCTCAAAAATCTGATTTCTGATCTGCTTGGATACCTGCGCATATCTTTGCCTTTGCTGGAGTTAAAGTGCGATCTCTAACCAATTTATTAGGTTGTCCCATAAGTTTTTTCATATTCGGACCTTCAATTCGATTTTTCTCAGGAACTACAGCACCTAGTAGGCTGCAAATTTTTGGCAGTAATTCTGAGCGAATAAGCTATATAATCACCTACTTGCGGGGAATACAGAAGTGATATAGGCAAAGTTTGAAAATTGAGCGCATTATTTTTTTCTTGGTTTCTAGCCATCAGAAAAACGCAGAAAGTGCATTTATAAATATCCGATGAGGAGAGTATATGCATGAAAAAATAGGAGATTTGCATAGCTGTTTTGAACTGAGATATGATGATTTTCGTTTTTTCGGAAATTCGGGAAAATTTTTTATTTTGGCTTGGAGCATGTTGCGGATTGGACTTGGTGCGAACTTTTAAACGCCATCTTGTAGAGCTTACTTTGATCTGTCGAATGGTACCCTGCAATTTATCAGGAGTTCAAGAAGAACTGATTTATGTCCTTGAAAAGTCAGGTATGAAAAGACTTATGGGACAACCTAATAGTAAAACTTCCTCTACGCCTTAATGTATCAGTTTTGTGGCATTCAAACTTCCCGTATTTTTAGTACTTCTAGCATTGAGAACCCTATTTCGCTTTCCTTCAGCTCACTACGTTTTATACCTCATCCAAGATGCTTTTTATTTGGACTGTTGTTTTCCAAAACTCCAAAACCTTGCTAGAGGGAGCTTTCCGGGCTTGCGTTGCTCCTCGCTATTGCGATAGAGTTATCTAATACATAACTATTAGGATGTCAAGAAAATAATGTCCGTTTTTATTTGCTTGCTTTAACAAAGCAACCAGACTCAACTCAACAAAGAGTAAGGGGTACTGTTCGATAGAGCAAAGCAAGCTCTACAAGATGGCACTCATGTATTTGCGCCATGCTCGATCCACGGAGAGTTCGAACTCAAAATCTAAAGATTTCCGAATGCCCAAAAAATCGAAAAAAATCAGATCTTCGTCCAAATAATTTCTACGGACCTCCCACTCGCTCACATCAATACTATCGATATCTCATATCCATATGTGCGATTGCCGTATTTTTTCCTTGACTAGAAACTGAGAAAACGAAAATTTCCCTGATTTTCTCCAAGCAATGCTGAGCCGTTTTTGCATATGTAGTTCTATACTACAAGCCTAGATAAGCATAACTGTAGATTTTCAGCCTATTTCGAGCGGTACTTTTCGAGAAATGTCGATTTAAGCACTGAAACTGAAACGAAAAAATCCGAATTCGTTATTTTTCGAAAACTACCGCTTGGAGTGGGCTGAAAATATACAGTTATACTTACCTAGGCTTGTAGTATAGAACTACATATGCAAAATCGGCTCAGCATTGCTTTGAGCTCAGGGAAATTTTCGTTTTCTCAGTTTCTAGTCAAGAAAAAAATACGGCAATCGCACATATGGATATGAGATATCGATGGTATTGATGTGAGCGAGTGGGAGGTCCGTAGAAATTATTTGGACGAAGATCTGATTTTCTTCGATTTTTTGGGCATTCGGAAATCTTTAGATTTTGAGTTCGAACTCTCCGTGGATCGAGCATGGCGCAAATACATGAGTGCCATCTTGTAGAGCTTGCTTTGCTCTATCGAACAGTACCCCTTACTCTTTGTTGAGTTGAGTCTGGTTGCTTTGTTGAAGCAAGCAAATAAAAACGGACATTATTTTCTTGACAACCTAATAAAACAAGACTAAGTAACTTTTCCGTTCACATATATATATATATATATATATATATATATATATATATATATATATCTAGCAAATACACTTTGCTGGTTAGGCTTCTTGACCAGCATCATCTAAGACAGGCAGGCACAACTACCTCAGTGAGCCGCAACTCGGTGCGCCTGCACCGGCACATAACGACGGAGTTGTTTACGGGTTGTTTCATACTGCCGCACTGACCGCAAAGGACTGCAGCAAACTGCAGCTGACTGAGCTGACTGCAGCGGTCGCAGCATGTTCAGGTAAAAAAGAGCGACCTCGATTAGGACCGAGACACCTTGAATGGCGCGTAGAAAGACAAAAAGTTTCGATTTCTTCCTTTTCAGTAGATTTTTCTTTTTTTACGCAAACATCTACGACTGCAGCGTCACCTGCAATCAGCTGCAGTCTGCTACGGTCTGCTGCGGTCAGTGCGGCAGTATGAAACAATTCTACGTCAGCATCTCGCCTGCGAGGGGAGGGGGAGGGGAGTGTTATATGCATGAGTCATCTCCTGCGCTTTATTATATAGAGATCAATTTCGAATGTTAAACAAAGACAAATATTTTTGAAAGTCCTTTCATTTTGCAAGAGTCTGTGGCTATTTGAGGAACAGCTAGAAAATTCTGTCTCTTAGAATATCAAACAATTTTAGTGGCCTAGCTTTTGAACTCAAATCTTTGAAAATGTGGACGTTCTTTTTTGGATCTTTTATGTTACACGATGAGGTTTCTGATTGTGAGATGAGGTACATCTAATTGTGAGAAAAAGCGTTTGATTCGATTGTCGAGAACTCGTCAATAAAGATTTACCAAAGAAACATAATCACCATCTTTTTTCCCTCTCTCAATCAGCGCATGCAATAGCACGTTATTTTCTTCAGATGGGAGATGTTAACATATATACCGGAAGTGCTGGCCACTTACAAGACGACCTGGGTATATCGATACACAAAATGCAAAGATACCAAATATAGCGACTGCGCGAAGGTAGAGCAGAATACTGCAGTAGTGATTCTGGTCACAGTGGTGGAAGTGTGCAACATATTGCTAGCGAATACAATAAATGACAGATCGTACACATGGATGACCTGAACATTTTCATTCAATCGCATAAGATATTATAATAGAGCGTCTCGCTGAGATCTGTTATACGGCAGTGCTAACCAGACGCATAACTACTTATAGTTAATTAGGGCCCCATACTTTCCACGTATGATCCAGGGCTACGTCCAGGTATATATGGACACTGCCTTCAAGAAGAACCACTTGATGTTAAGCGCAAGCTTAACCATTTCACCGGCTGCCTCGCAAAAACACCGTTGCAAAC